AGCCTTTGTGCGTGTGTAAATGCTTTTTCTAGTTTTGGCAGTTGCCAGAATGAGACTAAAGAAATAAATAAATGAGCTTCAGATCAGACTAAACTTCAGACTATCTGAAGTGCATACTATCAGGATTACATCAAAACAGTAACTGATATCTTTTAGTAGGACTCTTTAGATGCTCAGACACTTAGCTGTTTTGCTCTGAATTTACAACACTTTTTTTTAGTGTGATTTGTAAGCTATTTCTTCACAATTAATGCATAATTAGATACAAATGTGTTGTTGGTAGATTATTAGCTTGTCTAAATTCATTAATTTCATCAAATCAGTCTTTTTAGTCCATTAGAATTCAAAAAATCCCTTATATTTTTGAAGACAAAAGCAAAGATATGAAGACCCCATGCGTCAGCATACATCATACAAGCGTTGTGACTGAGCAGTGGTTTTCAGATCAGGGGTAAGTGGAGCTTCTCCAGCACTGGTGTTTCTGGTTGCTAGGTAACAGTTAATGCAGACCAAAAATGACTGTCTCATTTGTGTCTGTGATGGACTAGGTATTGCATTGTAGGGTTTAAAAGCCAAGGGTTGTTGTTTTGTCGGTGTTTAATTTCTGTAATGCTAATCAAAATGCTAATAGGGCGATTCCAGTATTAGTTAGTAACATTAGCGACTGTTGTGCATTGTTTGTGACACTTTTTTTGTACCCAGACTGAATACATTTGCGCACATGAAGGTGCCTGCCTTTTGGGCGTGTGTACATGTAGTCACGTCTATATTATTTTGCAATTATGTAGTCGCAATATATCTTATGGCATAAGACTGTTAAAAAATGACAAACTGAATGATAAAAAAAATAAACCGGATGTCTGAGGGATCCTGTTGTGTTATCCCTGTCCTGCTGCTGGATAACAGAGAAAGAGAGAGGGAGGGAGCAGGATAAGCCAGAAGGGTCATAGGATAAGAGGTCTTCTCTGTTACCACAAATCCCAGATTACATCCAAACGGGACAATGCCATGGCTGGACACCGATCTGTCATGAGGACACGCCCACACACTCTCAGAGGTCTGTAGCTCATCTGGTTTGTCTATGTACTGAATCCCTCATTCGTTTGCTACTATCTAGGCCAGTGGAGTATTAGCAAGCCACTCCAGCTCTGCCAGACATGATATCTTAATTAGAACGTAAATCCCTGGCCTATAGGAGTCATCCAGCGTTCGGCCTCAACCAGCTGAGAGGACAACAAAGCGGATGGCATTTCTCTAATGTGTGTGTGTGCTTTCTGTCTAAAACAGACCACTGTTTGACAGCGAGAACATGCTTTCAAAAGGCCTCTGGTATGCAGAATGGTGGCAGTAATAACATATGTACCATGTACTAAAATGTCATTTATTCCTGTGATGCAAAGCTGAATTTTCAGTAGCCATTACTGCAGTGTCACATGATCCTTCAGAAATCATTCTAATATGCTGATTTGCTGCTCAAGAAACATTTTTTATTATTATCAATGTTGAAAAGAGTTGTGCTGCTTAATATTTTTGTGGAAATCTTAAAATGTTTTTTAAAAACGATGCAAATGTCTTTCTTGTCACCTTGCTGAATAAAAGTATTAATTTATTTTAAAGCATTATTGAAATGGTTGTGCTGCTTAATATTTTTGAGGAAACCATGATTAATTTCTTCAGGATTCTTTGAATAGAAAGTTCAAAAAGAACAGCATTTATTTGAAATGGAAATATTTTGCAACATTATACATTTCTTTACTGTCACTTTAGATCAACATAATGCATTCTTGCTGAATAAAAGTATTATTTAAAAAATATCTTACTGACCCCAAACTACTGAACAGCAGAGTATGTGTTTGAATCCAGGTCCAGAGCTGATGCAACTTGAATGAAGAACAGCGTTTCAATCTGCACTGCAATGGGCTCTAACGGCCTCTGCCTGTTTAAGATACAGTTATAAAATGCAATAATCTCTTGCCATTGTTAAAATGTATAAATTAGAATCCATAACACAGACAATGATGTATTATGTGTAAATAAGTAAATCATGGTTATGTCTTATGCCACTGTAAAAATGAAAAGATACTAAAAGCAATAGGCCTATATGCAGTTGCCCAGACTGAATCACTAACCTGTTGCTTATTCAAGTAACTTCATCTATATGTGACTCTGGACCACAAAACCAGTCATAAATAGCACGGGTATATTTGTAGCAATAGCCAAAAATACATTATATGGGTCAAAATTATCGATTTTTCTTTTATGCCAAACATCATTTGGATGTTAATTAAAGATCATGTTCCATGAAGATATTTTGTAAATTTCCTACCATAAATATATCAAAACTGAATTTTTGATTAGTAATATGCATTGCTAAGGACTGCATTTGGACAACTTTAAAGGTGATTTTCTCAATATTTAGATTTTTTTGCACATTTTCAAATAGTTGTATTTTGACCAAATATTGTCCTATATCCTAACAAACCATACATCAATGGAAAGCTTATTTATTCAGCTTTCAGATGATCTCAGTTTATCAAAAGAATTGACCCTTATGACTGGTTAGTGGTCCAGGGTCACATATATATTTTCAAAGTCTTTCTCTTGTGAAGGGGTTAGAGGAGTTACTGTATTTAGAGTTCTTGCAGGGACCTTTTGGGTTCAGGTTTGTATGTATCTCTGAGAACTGCCCGAAAGTGTACCTAGAGGTTTTCCAGAAGATTCTGAGGACAATCTGAGGAACTAGTGCCTCACGTATTTATTAAAAAAAAAAAAAAAGATTTTCACAAGGATGGTTAAACTGCACGTGTAGACACTTGCTACCTTTCATCTTCACTCTGACATCTGTATAGACAAGCATCATTTGTCACTAATGCTCTGACATTGTGCAAAAACTTCATTTTTGGTTTGTGAGGGAATAATCTAGTCAGATATCATTAATGTTTATGTTTTATATGTTGTGTATTTTATGTTATTCATGTTATATTATTGTTTTAAATATTCCTGTATCTAAATAGTAGAAGATGGCGCTAGCAACACCAAGGCCATAGGTTTTATTCTTAGAGAACACGCGTATATCTTAAATGCGCAACGTACCTTTAAAGTCACTTTGGATAAAAGCATCAGCTAAATGCAGAAATGTCACTATTTTATAGGTGAATGCAAAGTTATGCTAACTTTATTTCGGTGGAGGCTAAACTGAATAATTGAAAGGATTTATGGGTTATCAAGCCTGGTTTGTGTGTCTGTGTGTTGTATCAGAGAACAAGCAGATAACAGAACTCTTTGTATGAGTGTCACTCCTTATCTTTACTCTCTCTCTCTCTTTTTCTCTCTCAGTCGTTCAGGGATAGCGGTGTCAGGCGTTACATTATGTGTGCAATCCTTATTATTCAGCTCGTGCGTGCTCCATCCCGGAGCAAAAGCGAGGAGCGGAACGAACGAGTCTCCTCACTTTATTTCCGCGATAACTACCATGCCTAAATGTCTCATTTTGTTTTTAAGCAGGGACAATAGTTGTTTGAAAACAATTTGACAATGTGAAATTACGGTTATTTTAAGAGTAATGGATTGTTGGACAACACAACCTCCCTTACAAAGTCCATGTTTTTAAAGTCATTTTTTATTAACAAGAGTCTTGGAATGATATCAAAAGCCATGCATTATTTACTGGGTGACTTAGTAGAAAAATATTCCCTATGTTGAGGTTACAGTATGTCATAGTGTATGAAATATTCACAGAACTCTGAATATTTCAGCACTGCTGCTCATCCAGTGGTTTCCCCAAATCCTGTCTCCATGGCGCATCTGCATGGGGTCGCAAATCCTTTGTTTTTAGTTATTTTAGTGGTCGGCGTTAAAAACTGTAATGAGATAGATTAAATTGTCGCTTTAATCGTTTTACTGTGTCTACCTCTCATTATGGCCAACTGTCAAGCCATTACTGTATGGCGTTAACCTGCTCGAGCCTATTGATAATTGATTAACACTGTTGCCAAACACTCTAAAATCCTCCGCCTGGATTAAAATAGGCTGGATATTTTTGTGTGGTCTATTTTTGACAATCTGTCATTCTAATGTGACTGTGCTCAATCGCTTTACATTGCAAAAAAAGATAAGTCATTGCATGAAGACAAAGTTATTATATAATAACATTTTGTTAATTGGCATTGATTTCCATGTCATACACAATATGAGTTCAGGATGCCAGTTTAAACACGTTAAACGCATGCATGTATTTTTTTTTATTAATAGATGAGGTGTATTGTAATCCTTCCTATGGGCATTCCGATTCCGAAACGCATCATGACAACAGCTCTCTATTGCTGACACAAAAGAAGAACAAGTTCCTGAACCTGCCTGGATCCTCCTTCATATAAAACATGCAAAAAGCACTTTTAGTTGAACTTGTGTATCTGTGAAAATAATATCAGGCCCTTCTGTCAGACTGAACATTACCTTTGAAACGAGGCATGCCTTAATGGGACCGGACACTTCCAACGTCCTATCATTTAAGCGTGCACAAGACGAACTGCTGCGTGATTTTGAAACAGAGGACAGGTGTACTGAAAACTGGACCTACTTACCAGGATTTCATATCCATATTATATACGCATCATTTGTAAGGTTTAGGTTAAGATGTGTTAACCATGGTGCCAATTCATCCTTATAGGTATTTCATGCATGACAAGATTTCAGACATTTTCAGCACATTTGTGTCTACATCCTGATAGTTTTTTTTTTCTTCCTGGCGAAATGTGCATGTTGTAATTTTTGACAGCTTATAGCCTACTGGTAGTTAAATTTTTGTTTTAATGTATTTGTGTAGAATAGTATTGCACGTCGCATGGCATTTTCATTTTTGTTTTACTTTTTAATGAGAGCATTTTCTTCATTAAAGTTCTTTTTAAAAGTCTATAGTGATACATTGATCACGTTTTTCGCACTTTATTTCTGAGGTCCTTAACATGCGTCACAGAAATGTTATAGCTTCATTTGGAGGCACGTTTTTGAAACATAAATCATGTTTTTTTTGTTGTTGTTTTTTTAGTTTTAGTTTTTAAAACATCTTTCAAAGGTGTAACTTTTGAATAGGCAATCATTTGTAATTATTTATACTGCATATGCTTTTCATAGAAAGTCTTACTAATGTCTTTCAGTGCGTTCTGTATTTTAACAGACACTCTTTCCTATCGTTTTATCGACGACTCAGAGGGGGTTGCTTCCGGATTTCTAGCAAATGACAACATTACATTCAGCGTCTCTGAGCAGCACAAACGTAAAGGTCAAAATGACGCTTTGACGTTTTCAGTGAAAGGCGCTGTTGCGCTCTGGGTGGTGCTGAAATCTGGTGCTGCTTCACGCGTGATTGGCAAACCTGACAGTGATTGACGTGTGTCCATGGCAACCAGGCAGCCAATCTGACAAGTCCAATAGAATATCGGCAGCAAGGGGCTAAATGTTCTTTTATTTTGCTCCTCAGAAAACACCTTGTTTCCAGTTTTTTATGCTCACACTCAATCAAAGAAACGATTTTGCCGTTCAGGCTGCTTGTGCCTGCCGCACGGCATCGCTCCTCAGCTCGTTTTGTGACACGGCTGTTAACTTTTGCCGTTTTCTGACAGACTCGCTGAACAAAAAGACGGGCGAGACATTCGAGGAGCAACACCAGACAGGAGGACCAAAAGAAGAGACAGATTGCAGTCTCCATGTTCCAGCTGCCCATCTTGAATTTCAGCCCCCAGCAGGTCGCGGGGGTCTGCGAGACGCTCGAGGAGAGCGGCGACGTGGAGAGGCTCGGCCGCTTCCTCTGGTCACTCCCGGTGGCGCTGTCCGCCTGCGAAGTCCTCGGGAAGAACGAGTCTGTCCTGCGTGCGCGGGCGGTCGTGGCCTTTCACGCGGGAAACTTCCGCGAGCTCTACCAAGTACTAGAGAACCACAAATTCACAACGGACTCACACGCGAAGCTGCAGGCGCTCTGGCTCGAGGCGCACTACCAGGAGGCTGAGAAACTTCGTGGGCGTCCCTTAGGACCCGTGGACAAGTACCGCGTCCGAAAGAAGTTTCCACTGCCTCGGACGATATGGGACGGCGAACAGAAAACGCACTGCTTCAAGGAGAGGACGCGGCATCTCTTGAGAGAGTGGTACCTGCAGGACCCTTACCCGAACCCGAGCAAAAAAAGAGAGCTGGCGCAGGCGACTGGACTCACACCCACACAAGTGGGCAACTGGTTTAAAAACCGGAGGCAGAGAGACCGAGCGGCAGCGGCCAAGAACAGGTATATAGAGATCTCCACTGAACTGCATAAAGGCGTTAATCATGTGCATATGATGTTCCTTTTATTATTTATACTGTCATTATCTTTATTTATTATTATCTTTAAAAAGTCTTTGGAGTTTCTTGCGTAATTTAACTTAAAATTAATGTCCAAATCGATTAGTTGTTGGCAAAGCTCCTTTTGTTCACATCTTACCAAAATGTAGGCTACTAATTATTTTACATATCTCTGCTGATGCATGAGGTTTCATGCTGGGATGATTTATGATTATAAAAATACTACATAATCGATATCATAAATATAGCCTAAATATATTTTCTCTGGGTTAGGAAGCTTAAAATACCCGCTTAAACAGATTGTTAAATTGACAGCATGCTTTACATTATGTAATTCATGGTTTGTTTTTATATGCTGCAATATATATTTCTATCAACTATTTTTGTTGTACTGCCTTAGACAATAGTTGCATAGCCTACAATCTTTGTTTATAATTAACATACAGTATTGAAGCTATATTATGCTATAAGAAAAGTTTACTTTAAGTCTAAACAGTCACCATTTGATTTTAGCTCATGCAAATGCACTTACAACCTGAAATGTTTTGACAGCGTTAACAGCATATCATCGTCAAAAGATTTTTGTAGTTTCCCATACTCGAATAAGAGGTGTAAATGGTGTGTTTAATAAATATAGTTTGACGATTCAATCTTAATCCAAGACTGATTAACTTAACCAGAAATGACAGTAATTTATGCATCAGAGAGATGAGGACATTTCTTTTATATCCACTGTCTCCACTGTAAGCTATGAATGTCGATGTATCCTCATTGACATTTTGTCTCTTTTCACCCCTGCAGGCTACAGCAGCAGGTTCTGTCCGGTGGCTCGGTCCGATCGCTGGGGGATGATGACACCACAGTGGACCGCCTGGGTCCCGCCTCAAGCCCAGAAGTCAGTCTCTCGAGCAAGGCCGCCACCTCCGCCATCTCCATCACCTCCAGCGACAGTGAATGTGACATCTAACGTGACAGGCTTCAAAAGAGCAAACAGGAGAACTGTAAGAGACAATCTAACAACAACAAAACTTTAGTGCCTGCAACCGGCCCAGAGAGAGGCTAAAATGAAGGATGGAAAAAAGCGTCACAATTTAATTTTCCATTCGTTGATGTGATCAACAAAATGCGCAGTGCTTCTCATGAAGACAGGTGGGAGTTTTCGAAAAAATCTTCTGAGGGCCGAACCTATTGTTGTATGTTTGCGTGCTTTATCATCAAAAGACTGAATAATGTTTTAATGTTCACTTGTCTTTTTTAATATATAAACGATGTTTATTTACTTATTTAAAATATCATCGGCCCCTAGACCCTTTATTTGTGTGCTTTTTTATTACCATTTTTGTTGTGCGTAATGCTGCGCGTCGTGAAATTTCTGGAAAAAATAACCATGATTTAAAAAAAATAAAATGTTGAATTAAGTAACGATGGCAAATTCACAACGGTATTTTCTTTACGACATTTATTCCAGTGTTTCCGGTGTAAAATTGAGCCATGCAATGTTTTATTTCATGATTATATTTTATGTGTCTACCCGAAAGTAAAAAAAAAAGGTGAATGTTATATCCTGAAGAACAGATTTAGAACAGACGGGGATCAAATATGTTGCATGTTTTAATGCCTCTCTGCCAGCTCAATCTCTCTCACACTCGAGCAGTAATTGGCTAAAATGCTTCGCGTGGTGTAACGCGCTCTGACAGCGCAGGGTCAGCGAAAGGCCGAGACGCTCTCCCGGATGTCAACACAACCCAAGCTGTGATCTCCTGTTTAAATAGAACCTTCTAGTGGCCCAAACAAGCTGCAGAAAATTCATTTGTCAAAGGTGGATGATAAATTAATACTTTTTTATTGTTTTTCATTTTACTATAATTTTCTTTCGATTCAAAATTGTTTATATTTATTTAATAGGCTATGTAATTCACAACATGACTATAATTCACACGTGGTTAAGCTAGTGGGTTAATACCTTGTGGCATTAAGATCAGCATAAATCGATTGCTAGACTATAACCATCACAACTTAGTGCTTAATTTTTTTCTCATTACTCGGAGAGATTTTTCTTCTTTGTCAAGTGCCAGAGAACGATAAAAGGTTTTTATATCCTTCCAAATTTTTATTTTTATTTGGAAGAATACATGTTTGTAAAAATGTCATAATATTTTAAAAGCACGGCCACGCTATTCTTAACTTTCAAATCAACTTAAGGTGTTTATGTCGCAAATGACTGAAGGAGCAGGCGCAAAAACACAGCGCCTCTGTTTCCCAACTGCTTGAGGGGTTCACGGCGCGCACCTGGGTTTAACCCGCGCTATTCATTAACGCTCCCAATAAAAAGCACAAGCTGTATTTTTCAATCTTCTTTCAGTCTGAACAACGGCGGGGCCAAACCAAGTGTTCCTTCCTAGAAAAAAGGAGAAGATAGGAGCAAAAGCAAGGGAAGGGAAAGGAGCACGGCTTTATTTAAACACTGGATAGAGAATGGCGGAAATTTTCCGTTTCTTTTGAGCGCTGGGGAGAGCAGGGTGGGACGATGAAAAAGTCTTTTTAGCAGTCAATAAGGTTGTCAAATTGGTCAAAGGTAATCAGCACTAATGACGAGTTGGAGAGGGCCGAGCTAACAAAGAAGCACCCCGCCTTCCCCTCCCGAAAGCCTCAGCATGAAAACTCTCTGCCCGGGTTGCCAGAGGTATACAGAAATCCAAACTTTTTTCATTTGTGTGAGTGAGTGTGTGGCGTTCTGGGGCATTTACCTGAGGAGTTCGCTGTCTACATATATGGTTCTAAAAACAATAATAAAAAGCCAAGATACCTAATTTCTACATCACAAATAGATTCCTTTTGATGCCACAAAGAGCGTGAGAATTAAGTTACTCGGGAAATAAAAACCAAATTCCTTTATCATTTTGCAAGTGGAGAGAAAATGCTCAAATAAGCCTAAATATGCTATTTAAAACACAACGTTTAATTAAGTATGGGTTTGAAAAGGATGTGTATGCACATTCATTCGTATACCTATTATTGCTGCCTGTAGGGATGGTTATTAAAAAAAATAAAAGTATTCTAAATTCCTCTCAGTTAAAGAGGATTTCGCCAGTATTTGCATTTGTGTTAGTCTGTCAGTGTGTAAAGAGCTGTGAATGGAGCATAACAATTTGCAACTGCACTTTTTAAAATCAAAACAATACACACAAATAGGACGGTGCATGTTAACGCCATGTGTACTTCAAGCAAACAGCAAACAGCAAACATCTATTGAAAAAAAAAAAAAAAACGACCAGAAGCAAGCTTCTTGAGAACTTATCTAGCTAAGTATCCTTTTTGCTTTTAAATGCAAATGTACTCTGAGCTCTGTTACACTTATATGGTATTAATTAATCACGATATGGATTAATCGCTTCTACATGTATTATTCCCATACATGTAAGTCACAATGGATAAAAGCGTCTTCTAAACGAATAAATATAAAGCAAACACAATCTTTACCCTTTAGCATATAGGCCTACTAAGTTATAGGAAATGTATAGGGTTCTTATGTGTGCGTTTGTCTTTGGTCATAAATACATGCTTACGTTGTAGAATGTGTCTAATACACCTTTGCTTCTTGCGTTTATATATTTATTCAGGTTTCACAACTGGATATTTTTCTTTTGGCTTTTGTCTGCGACCTCTGGTGGTCAAATGTGGCGTGGCATGACTCCCAGCTCAGTGGCCTTTTTACCTGGACAGATGCCTACATCATCATATTGAAACAAATACCAGAAGTCAAGAATCATAACTCGGCTCTGTAAAAATGCGTAATGTGTATAAACTATAACTGTGTGTTTATCTATTTAGCATGGCGTTAGGCGCTTTCTTCCAAAGCCACTTACAAAAAGTAACCTAGTGCATTATAAAAGTGCCACAATACAAAGTTTGCAGATTTCTTTAGAAAATATGACCTAGAACGGAGAAATCTGTTTCATGGGCAAGTGTGTTAGTTACTGTATAGGTGAAGTGTGCACGGAAGAGTTGCGCCAAGAAATTATGCTGGTCTATTTACATTTGAAAGATCATTCGGCTATTTGAGGTAGCTATACAGACAGACTAAATCGTGTTCTAAACCTACATGGACGTCTACAGACTCTGGATGTCCCAGAAATTCTCACACGAAAATGTTCTGCTTTTTAAGTCATTAACAGAATCGCACTCATTGAAAGAGGCGCCATTCAGCACCGTGGACAGCTACACGACAGGAACACTCTTCTCGCCCATAATTAACACTTTTCTAGCCTTGCGTTCTATATATTTATTTGAACGGCATATTATACTGTTAAATCTACTTCATGATCCTAAGCAAACGTAAAGTCTGTTCGTAAATAAAATTCTGTCATAATTTACTCAACCTCACGTCGTTCCAAACATGTATGACATTCTTTCTTCTGCTAAACACTAAAGACGATTTTGAGGAATGCTTCATCTGTTTTTGACCATACGTATAGAAGTCAGTGGGGTCCTAAACAACACTGGACCATTATTGACATTCCTTGTATGTGAAAAGCACTGAGACATTTTTCTAAACATCCTTTTTTGAAAACTGTTTGGGTGAAACTATACCTTTATTGCTAGGCTATATGATAAATCTCCATCAACATTTACTGTAAAATACTAAATAAATTTATTTTGAGTATTTATTCGGCCACTTTAAATCTAATTACTGAAACTATGAATCATAATAGAAATAGAAATTACAGAAATTATTTTTGTGAAAAGGTAGATAAGTCGAAACAAAGATGCTGTTATAACAATGAAAGCATTTTAACCGTTTGAGATGAACAAATCATCAAAATGGATCTTCACAATTAAGTTTTTCACGGTGAAGTTTTTCCACGTCACACAAAGTTCCTGAACATTTCCTAATTATAAATAGGCCTACTCATTTGAAGTTCTTAATGGCAAAAATGTAAGTTCAACTGTCTGTTTCTGGTCTGATCTTTACAGACAAATCAATAATCAGAGTGTGTTGTCGTCTATCTTAGTTTGTCTCGATTCAAAACTCCATTTCGACCGCGGCCTCTTGCAACTTCAAACAAGAACCGTCCTTAAAGAAAACGAATGCGAATTGAAATCCATGTGCAATGATGGAGACATTTATTAGAGATAAATACCTACATGTTGTTTTGACAGATGGTTGTATGTAGTAGACAAAGAATGTCACATAAGAGCGGTCAGAAGAAAACTAGCATGAGCGTTATTGAAAAGCGATAGTGAGCCAGTAATTGTGCTCGATCTGAAGCTTTAGTCTCGGATCTTGACAGCTTCTCAATACACTAGAGTTTTTTGGGCAAGACCGTGAGCATTTTAACCGAACATGATCATCGCAGCTCATTGCTCTTCAGTTAACATGTCGATTAGCAGTATTTTTACTGCAGGAACAATCCATCTGGATCGACCCAGTGAAACAGGCACAATGCTGGCAACTCAAAAACACCTTAACTTAGGCTACGTGATAACCGTACGTCTGAGTTCTCTGAAGTAACCGTAAGTAGCCTACACATAATCCTGCAGGTCAACTAAACTTTATACACTCTATAATATGTGACAATACCAGAATACTTCTTATTTTGATTTTAAACAATTATATGTTAAATAAATGCATAATCTAGGCCTACAATGGATGAACAATTAATTAGTCTAATAGATAAAGGCCTAGGCTAGCGCAGCTGGTACATATGGGTGTCATACAAGCTATATTGGAGTGGTTTTGTTTATGGGGAAATGAAGATGAAGGCTCTAGATTCTTTGTCTTCTAGAAAATGCTGTTTTATTCAACATCAAGTATGTCGACATATTGAGATCACGTCAGTGTCATTCAAATTACCACGTTACTGAAATGAAAACAGATTAGTTAGCGGGATTAAACGCTGTATAAATCTTTCTAATGAGTAGATGAGAGTGCGTTGACAAGTGTAGTAATATTTTTATAATGCAATACCTCATATCAGTCGCTAGGGGGAGACAAATACCAAATACATGCTCTTCTTGACACAGTAGTTCATATCTAGCCAGTCTACAGTTCATTCTCCAATATCACAACTTTTATGCTTTGTCATTAAAGAACTTATGCACATACAGCATTTACAGAAATGTGTGCAACCGCTCTGTAATTGTTTGTATATCTAAGGTGTTTTTCTTTGCTGTTTCTTGTATGTCTTGTTTTTCTATTATTGCCGCTACGCATGAAATTACCTTCTTTGCATTAATCATAGCCCTATTTCTCCCGTAGTCTCTCTTAATTTGAGTATTTTAAAGATATATATTAACTTACTTTTTTTTTTTTTTACATATAATCTGTTGTTTTCTGTGAAATAGAATAACAAATGTCTAAACACTTGCTTGTGTTTTGTGGTGCCTAAAATTACCACCAGAGGGCAGAAGAGACACTGTGGTAAATAACCCTGCAGCCACAGTAATTATGATTCTTTCCAGCTTCTGCTAATGAGATAATGAGTCAAGACCACAGAGTCAATGTGTTAGCAAAACAAAGTGTACAAGGCATGTGTGTGATGGACAAATAAGGGAACAGTGTGTGTGGATACTCTTAAATCCCCTCCTGTTTTATCAGGAAAATAGATCAGTCTGCTCTGGAAGTCTCTTCATTGAAATTTTATATGTTGATGTTTGTTATGTTAGCTACATAATTGATCACAGAAATGTTCGCATAGCTAAAGAGTAAAGTGAAAAGAGAAGAAAAAGATGAGAGAAGAGAGAGAAACCCTTTTGTAATGCCTGTTGGGAAACTGTTTTGTGTAGTCTGTCCAATTCTCCCGCTGATATCTGGACTTTACCGGAATTCCATAATCAATGTGAATCTAGATCACTGTGATCCAGAGAGACAAAAATTGCCACTGGAATGTCAGCCAGCAGCAACATGCCAGAGAAACCTGGATTAGACTACAAAATGAGGTGTGTGTGGTGTGTGTCTAAGGTTTTGGACTATACCACACTGATCTCATTGTAGTAATTATACCCCAAAATGAGAATGCTCCAAGTCCCAATGAAAAACAGGAAGCTATCATATTTCTGTTTTCATTTCCTGAGTTTTTTCTTTAATGGAGTCATCTAGAGTTTTATCCTGTTCTCTCTCTCCCTCTCTGGGGAGTGAAACTTTGGCTTAATGCTTCCAAGCCTGAAAGAGCTGCCAAAATTAATTCTAGTTTTTGTGATAGGGCTTGTTTTTAAAGATGCATCTTTTTAATGCAAAGATGCTATAAATAACTGATATTAATAAAAAAAAAATGATTTTTTTGTAACATTATTAAATGTATTTATTATTATTATTATAGTTGTTGTTATAAAATATTTCATATTTATTTATTTAACAAAACAAAAGGGCATACAAAAATAAAATAGCTATAGATAATAAAATAGAATGTACAAATCGGAAAATATATGTTTCCAAACTAAAACCGCTTATATATATATATATATATATATATATATATATGTGTG